AGGGGGAGAAAGACCAAGAAGAAGTATAATATCGGGGATGGAAGTAAAGTATGTAAAGTATTTAAAAATATTAAGTATCCCCGAGAGAGAAGAGCGGATATTAAGACAGAGAGAATTGCAAGTTCAGAGAGGGTTGGAGAGTCGTTACGAGTTAAGGGTAGGGGTGAAAGTGACAGCGACGTGGAAACGGAATTACGGGATCGGCACGGTGGAAGGTGGTAGGAGAACGTTTCAATTAGTAATTAAAACGTGCCGTGCAGTAACCCTCGCCCCAACCCCTAGTCGCCACTCTTCCACCCCTCCGCGGTACAACGAGGCTCTTGCTCTCTTATACCGTCGTCGTCGCCACCGCCGCCATCTTGTAAATTAATTAATGCGTTCCTAACGAGATCAGAGGCGTCGGTAAAGCAGGAGGGTTGGCTGGTTCTCTACTTTGCCCGCCAAGGAAAGAGGGTGAGAAACTCAAGAGCGTAACTCGCGCCTCGCGCACCCTATGCGGTTGAATACACTCCGAGATCGTCGGAGCAGCATCCTCGTTCAAATCCCATCCAAGAACCAGATAGCTAATTAAATTCCGGATTTTTTTTTGTATCTAATAGAAAAACTTAATAATAAAACTTTAAATAAATATTACAACTGACGCAAGCTTCTAATTTTTCACGATTCTAAACGGCAAATTTGTTTTAAGCTTCCTGACTAGATGTGTACGTAAAATATATCGTCTCTAGAGTGTGCACTGCATTTCAAGCGCAAACATTCCGGATGCGAAATTGCCGTGTCGCAGGCATCGCGCATCGGTCGCGAATCTCAACGGCGACTTTTCGAAACTCTCTCCTGCGATCCTCACAGCCCTGGATGAGAGCGAATTAGTCTGTTCCCGGGGGTAGACAGCAGAGACAGGGTGTTAGTGGAAGGGGATGTTGGTCGGGGGGTCGGTGTCAGGATCTCTCGACCCTTTCAAACCCTTTCATCGGCGCTTCACCCGCTTACATAATGCAGCCACTCTAATTAAAATAAATTACACTCTCGCGCGTCAGTTCGCTCTTTTATCTCCCTCCCTCTCTTGTTCCCTTTCCGTATCTCTTTCTCTCTTAGCCTCACACCCGTGCTCACCCTTTCTCTGTGTTCTCCCCCTCTCTCTCTCTCTCTCGCTTCCCTTCCTCTTTTCTCTCGACTAGCTTTTTTTTCGCTCTCACCCTGTCGCTTTTTTGTACCGCACTTTCGACCACCACCCGGGTAACGCCCCTCTCTCCCGTCCTCATTCTCTCTCTCTCCCCCTTGCTCGTTTATTTGCACTTTATTCGAGATTTAATTTACCGACCTCCGGCGACAGCCTCGTTGGTGCGCGCTCGACTCTGTGATGGGATTAAAAAGGCGGGTAGGGGATGATAGGATGGAAGAGGCTGAGCGGCGAGGGAGAGGTGAGAGGATGGCGTAAAAGTTGGAAAAAGAGTAACGCGACCGCGAGCTCCGCGACCAATGGAGAACGAACTGCCGGAAAATGGCTGAACCAAGGAAAAAGCGAGGAGGCGTACGAGGGGCTGAGGGGGGAGGAGGACGAACAATCGATATCGCGGCGTCTCGATTCGGAGCCGATTTTCAACTCTCGGAACAGCCCAACATGTACCTGCCACCACAACATCGCGATGGCGCGAGGGCTTATACACACAGTAAATAACGGAATCGATTTCGATTAAACGTTTAAAATCGTTTCTGTTTTCGTGATATCAGGATCGCTGATGCGGTTGCAATGCCAGCCTCCGGGCTACGAGATACGGGGTGATTTTTTCCGCAATAGAATATTTGATTACAATTAACGTTCGGTAAATCATATCAGCGTCATTGTTCTGAAATAAGTGACGAATAATGTCGTATGTATTATTGCATATCCGCGTTAATGGTTCGCTCTATAAAGAGATTACTGTACAAGATCAACATTAGCTGCAAAGTGATAACATCCAATGAAAGGAATAATATCGTTGAATTATCATGACATATTCTCGTTGCTATTCCGGCGATTATTTATTAAATATTTCGCGTTGAAAATAGAGATATTCATTTAACTGTAAATATAAACGAAAGCGGAGAGAAAGAGCGTATGCGCGCGAAAAAGAACTACGGGGACATAATAATATATATCTGGCTTTACAGTCGCAGGTAATTTTCGTGAAAATGCGTTCACATTACAGCGGGATGAATCAACATTAACGGTCTCCCGTACGAGTATTCTCCTCGTCACCATCGAGACCATCAGTTTTCGCGACAATTTACCGCGAGCTATCCGAAACGAGGCGTAAGCATCGCGCAATTCAATTTAACTCTCGCTTGCATGTCCACGAGGGGGCCAGGTAATAGCTGGGAATTCCCGCCTTTTTCACCCGTCTGTGCGAAGCAATAGCAATAAATAAATATTCCGCGGGGGGTCGTCCGTTGCCCACCCTTGTGCATCCCCCATACACTTCTGCCTTTTTACGCCACAGGGGGCAGTCGTGCTTCATGGTGTTTTATGGATTTGTTACGAGTCGACGCTTTTTGGTTGAGAAGGGAGTTGTCGAGTAACTCGCACGAAGAGAGTAGCTAGATCTCTTTCCGTATTTTCTCTTTTTTGAGTTCGCGCAACGAGCGACGACAACATATCTCAGCTATAGGCACCGCTGGCTTCTTTCCCGCATCCTCGAAAAGCTCCGAGGTGTTCCGCAACGTACAGAGGAAATATTTCCCGGGTCGTGAAAGATCCTGAAAGTAAAGAGGCAACGCGAGAGAGAGAGAGAGAGAGAGGAGAAGAGGGATGCGAAAGGTAAAGCTCTCAGGAATGAAAGGAGAGGACTTTACTGGTGCGCGAATAATAACGACTCGTATTCTCTCCGGCTGTCGTCGGTTTTCGATTTGAGACGCCAACTTTCTTTCCTTCCCACCTCTCTCCTCTGTACATACGTGTATATATATATATATATATTCACTCTTTCTCGAGACTTTTTTTCTCCTTTCCATCTAGCTCTCCGCGATAGTTTACCTCTTTTCCGCAAGCACCGTTCTTCCTCTCGTCGATCCAATCACGAGATCGGATTGCACGGAAGAAGGGTGGATGGAGGTGCAAGAAGGAACATGAAAATGTAGTTGGGTAACGACCCACCGCCGCCGAGCGGAATAGAAGTTTTATCGTACAGCCTGCCCCGTGCTGCGCTGTGGAGAGGACGTATAAATTCAAAGTGACGCGAGAAAGCGGATCGATGGGAACGTAATTCTTCGCTCCTCGGAACTCGGTAAGTACGGCGTCAATTTGTTCGATGGCTCGGAACTCCCTTCCGTTAAAAAGAAGACGATAGACGCCTTCGCGCCAAGATCGGACCCTCGATCAATACGGTATACATGCAGCGAAACGTCTTGATAAAATAAGGAAGATATGAAATTTCGAAATAAAAATACACGTAGTTATAGCTTTTCAAAATTCATTGCCATTATTATTAATACATTAAACAAGAGAAGCATCGCGTAGCGTGGCTCGATCTGCTAAGGTGTTCATGAAATGAAAGGAAAATACAGAAGGTGAAGAAAAAGGTATGTATATGGGGAAGGTGAATAACAAGACTCACCTTTACAGCAATCAGTAATATTATACGGGGTGAGTAACCCCATTAGCATTCATATTTCAATTTCACAGGCCTCAGAGTCGCAGTTTGAAACTGTGGAAGGTACTTGGTTGGAGCGGTGAACGGGGGAGATAAACGGAAGAGAATTCACAGAGAAGAGCCAGAGGGGAGGAAGCGATGCGGATGAGAGGGAGGAATACGTAGAGGGTGAAAGAGGAGAGCTAATATCGATAGCAACCTATTACCATCTATCTCCATACCGATGTAATGGACGCGCAGCCCCGATTATCAATCCGTAATAATTGTGCATATTAAACGGGCACTAATTATCGGGCTGGCAGCGTGCCGCGGGCACCATCGCCATCGAATCGAACGAGTTACAACTCAGCGGTCCGTTTCGCTCTTTCCCTGTCTCACTCTCTCTCGCAGTAAATTTCACCGCGACCGAAAGAGGATTAATAACCAAAAAATCATCGCTCGGCCAGGCGCGAAAATATTCGCGAAATCAAATATCAAACTGTATTTTTCTCGATTCGCCAAGTAGTTCGCGAATTTTTCAACGAGTGTGAAACCTTAATCGCCTATTCGTTTCGCCGCATCGCATCGGTTAATGCGGGAACGCTGTTACGACGCGCGGGACCGTTTAATCGACGCCCGAGCTAACTGCGCACATCGATATTCATCCTGGAATGGAAAAAAAAAGAAAAAAAAAGAAAAATGGAAGAGACGGGTGGGAGTTGCCGACCGCGGCTGATCGATTCTCCTTTCTCGCGCGAGCCTTTTACCGAACGATCGATCGATCGGTAGGACCGATCTCGCAGGACACTCGAGAGACCTGAGAGGCGGAGAGCGCGAACGGCGGTGCCCTCGAGCGCTCTCGAGGCTTTTTTCCTCTCCGGAGCGCTTTTAATAAACGCGCGCGCCGCAACCAGCGGACGCTTTATGTTATCGAAGAAGAAGAGAAACGAAGAGAAATAGAGAGGCCGAGAGTGAGTGAGGGAGAGGGAAAGAGAGTGAAAGAGAACGAATACCGAGTGGTCGATGAAAGCGGAAGGGAGTGCTTTTGACGACGAGCTTTTTACGGCCCTGTGTTCCGGTGTTCAGGCTTTTACGTCCATTCCACGCTTCCTCCTCCTTCGTCACCATCTCCACCTCCCATCCGCTCCGCGTCACTCTGTTTCCCTCTTCCTCTTTTTCTTTTTCTCCCACGCGGTATCGCGCTAATTTCCTCTTTCGCTCTCGTAGTCCTCCACCTCCGCTCGTCCAATAATACATCGCACGTAAGCGGCGATCTAATCCCTTTTATGAGGTGAAATTTTACACGCCCGACAGTACCCAGCGATGTGCCAATCTTCTTCATTCACAACGAATAATGAGAAATTACTAGATAGTATCCGATGTGATACTCACATGCCTCTCCTCAGCCGGATTGAGACCTGTAACAAAGAGTAAAAAATTTCGTGTGAATTACGCGTGAAAATCGTGATATTATTAAGATGTTATTGTAAGATGACAGCGACTGTTCTCGTCGAGATAAATCTATGTTTCAGAAATCACTCTCGACAGATCTACCCACCGACAGTACGAACGCTATGAATGTTTTTTTTATTATTATTACAGCGTCGAAGGGAATAGAAGTCGGCGGTATGTCGACGGAATCTTTTCCGCGGAAAGAAGCAGATAAAGGAGAAAGAAGGAGGAGATGCGCGAGACTAGCTAGACTTCTCAAGGATTTCCGAGACGGCAAGCGCGGGGGAGTGTGAGAGAGATCGAGAAAAAGAAAAGCCGCGGCTGGAACAGGGAGAGGAGAAAATCCAGACGGAAAAGCTTTGTCCTCGAGAAGCCGAGTTCATAGTTTGCCCTCGCTCGATTTCCCCAGCCTCCTCCTCCTCCTCCTCTTCCCTGTACCCCGCGCCAGTTGGTACACTTTGGTCTCGTAGGAAATATCTTAACGATATCTTTTTCCTACCGTTACCCGTCCTACTACGAAGTAAGAATTACACGAACCGTTTATGTTCTCGATGCACCGGGACCACCATAAATTGCCTCTTTTCTCTCTTGCGACATTAACCACCACGGAAATAAAATATTTTTATTGACGCCGCGAGAGACAGAGCTTCGATATACAAACGATAGCGAGACATTTTCCCCAATAATAATAAAGTTGCAACGATAAAACGCGTATTTTCGTCGCTCAATGAAGCCTTAATTTCTAACTTCCCATTTGGAGCTTCCATTTGAATGTTCTCGAGTATCATCGACCATCTACATTGAGACGAAGGAGTGATTTTATTATTACGGTCTCTATAGTCCGTCAAATAATAACGGGAATGATGGTCGGGGAAAGCCTTATTGGGTCGAAAGACCTTTCTCGTATTTTTCCGAGCTACCACCTAGTCTACTGGTAGTCGACGTGAAATGTGAAGAGAAGGCCGAGAGTCAGGTCGTTTCAGGGGGTTAAAATCCTGGATACACGTTCACATCGTTATCGAGCAGACGCGTGCAAAGCAGAGCAGTTTCAGAAGATAGAAGGAGCAAAAGGTATCTTCTTTCTCCACGCGCCAGTATAGAGCTCGCTAATGCCCGTCATCCCCCTTTTATCCTTCCTCCTATCCGGCCAGAAAACTCTTTTCTCCTCCCTCACTCGACTACTCCCACGCTCGTAAACGGACGCGGAAGAGCGCGCATAATTTTCTACTAAAGCGCGAAGAGGTCGTCGAGTGTTTCCGAGAGACGTTTTAAGGACGCGTGCTCGCATCTCCTCTTCCATCTTAGAATAAGTTCACTAAAAGTACCGAGGACAAGCTCGCTCATTACTCGGAAAATTATCAGATAAAACGTGGCACGTTATCGAGTATTCGAGTTATTCGACGAAAATCCGCTTCGTATTAAAATCATACCACTTCTACTCGAGGAGCGACGCGGAGATATAAACTTGAGAGTAAATCGAGCGAGGATCAATACCGCTATTATCAACGCCAACACGGCCGACATTGGTTTCTAATCGAGCATAAAGACTGCAAGCTCGTTGCGGAGTGAATAAAAAGGAATCGTGGCGTCACACAGACAGCCGGTAGCAGATATTGCGGCGGATATGTCCGAGGATACAGTCGTTTTAGGGGGAAACGCGAAAAACCGCCAAAGGGAAGAACAAAACGAGAATGAGACTACCGCGCGCTGGTAGAAACAATTCGCTCCGGGCAATGTTCCGGAAAGAAGGAAAGAAGTTTCAGTTGTCACGACAGAAATACTGGGCCGTTATACGTCTCTCGGTTCGCAGCGGAATCTCTTTTCAAAAGAGTGTCTGCGATCGTTGACAATGTAGACTGCAGTAGATCTGTTCTTTTTGACTGCGCTTTTTCACGCCTTCTTTGCTGCGAGCAAAGCGAACGTGTGATCACGCTTCGGCGAAAGAAAGAAGGAAAGAGGACAAAGAGTTCGTGTTATATGGGGCATAGTTAGAAAAAAAATACATACGAAATAATATGTAATGTGCCACCGGATAAGGTAAACGTCCCAGCGACCGGACATATACCTACATGTCCAGACATTTACACAAAACTTTATATTTGTTTATATTATTAATATTAATCTCAAATGCTTTTTTGAATATATATTACTGTATAATATATTATTATAATTTAACTGTAATCTTTAAATACAATAAAATTATAATATAGTAATAAAAAAGCGTTTTAAATTAATAACGATAAATTTTGTGTAAGTATTCAAACATGTCTGGTCACTGGGACGTTTATCTTATTCACGTCATCAAATAGGGACAATTTAGCAATTCACGGTGTTAATAAAATTTCTAAGACAGCCGGAGGCATTTCCGTGGAAGTGATTGCTTCAAGATCGACGGATATCCCATTATGGGCCCATTGATCGGAAAACGCAAAACAACGCGCAAAGCAAACCAGCCGGAGGCTATATACCCGTCCTGAGTAACATAGTTGAGTGCAAGTCGAGGGAAAGGATAGACAGGGTCAGAGTGGAGGCCATCAGGGAATAGAGACAGCGAGTAAGGGCGTCAGACGTGGAAAGGGGGAGGGGAAGGGTTGTGGAAGTACCCTCGTGTCGAGAGGAAATTCTGAGTGCTCTCTCGAGAGATGGTTGTGGCTAGAACGAGACACGTCGAGCGAGAGATCGAAGGAAAGCTAGGAAACGCGCGAGAATAAGGACAAGAGAAGAGAGAAACGAAAGATGGAAGAGAGGAGTTTGAAGGAGTACCAACGCGTCTTCGTCAGCGGTACGTGAGGCTCCCAAGAGCGCGAACCAAGATCTGCAGTCGCGTGACGTGCCAACGAGAAAGATAGATGTAGGAGAGATGAAGAAGATGCGAGAGAGAAAGAGAGAGGGGGGGGGGGGACTAAAACCCGAGAGGATTCTCGAGGTCAAGATCGAGAGTTTCAGGAGCTTCTCTCGGGTTTAAGCACGGTCGTTTGCATCATCGACTCGTTCGTTCCAGACTGCACTTAAAATAGCACGAAAAGGTTCCGCTTAATTTCAGCGACTTTGGAGCGGTGTCTCACCGTACACTCTCCAAGTGATCTCTTTCGCTTCTTGAAACGCTCTCACGAGCAGTTTTCATCTATTACACCGACGGGCTCTCGACGGATTAATCGTGTTTACGTTCATCGTCGCTGCGTATAGCGCTGAATCATCAATGAGATTACGAGTCACGGCGAGCACGGCAAATCAACAACATATCATCTCATGAGGATCGGTTACCGGCCTATTCTCGCAGAAGCAAAGATAGGCGATTGAACAGCAGGTAGCCGAGTTACGTGAAACATGAAGTTGGATGCGCAACCTTCTGCGAACTAGACGGTTAAACGGATCGTTTGGCGCGCAAAATATCCACGAGCGGAGTCGCTGACTGCGCGACATTGGCAGACAGACGAGACATTGGCATCGACAGACTTCCACGAATTGAATCTTTTCTATCGACGCGACTGACCTTACACGTTCGTCGAGAAAGACGTAAATTTAAACGTGTCGAGCGATTGATGAAAGAAAAAATTCATCCAAAGATGACATTTAATAATTTTAAAGCAAAATATTTACCAGCTATAAGAAATTTTCAATATTTCGATTTCTAATTATAAATTCTTTTCTTTCGAAACTATTTAAATACACACATCAATTTAAACAAACTCTTGAATTTAATGCTTGAAACAATTTTAAGGCTCCATATATTAAATGGCCGAAAAATTTACTTTCTAAGACTCTTAGAGTGAATCTTACTCTGGAGAGTGACAGACTCTTAAAGATTAAAAACTGAGCCACTCTTTTTCAAGACTGGCTCAATTTTCACTGTTTAGACTGCGACTCCACTCGAAAGAATTTAGAGAGTAAAAAAGAAAGTTCATGTAACTTACCTCCGTTAGGTTTGAGATCGTCGGGTTGACCGCGATGAAGTTCCGGTTTGGTCAGCATCGACAGCGGATGTGCGGCCGTACCTCCGGGGGTGCCAGCCGCTCCTGGGGGAAGGCCTAAACCGAGAAGCGCCGCGGATGCCGAGGTGGGGACCGGTATACCCGCGCCCGGGCCCAACCCAGGAAGTCCGGGTATACCCGGATGCGGTCCCATCGCCGCACCCGGTGGCAGTTGCTGGGCGTGCATCTGTTGCAGGAGTCTCGGTAAATCAGGCCTCTGTTGCTGAAACAAAAATTTAACGTGCCAATAACATCGTTTACGCAATGTACGATTTATCCATCATGATCTGGATAATACCGCCGGTCACTATCGGTTGTTCGTTGATAAGCGCCTCATAAAGCATCAACACGGGAAAGATTACGTGTTTACGAGTACGTACATACGTGCGGATCGGCGCAAATTATACATATATATATACATATCGCTAGGATCTCGATAAGTTCCGTAGATTAGATTAAATAAGTAGTGAGGCAATTAACGGGCTCGAGAGCGCGTAACGGTGCCTCTCAAGTATTTCCGCTGTAATTACCAGATAAAAGCGAGCGGGTATTATTCTGCGAAAGACGTGAAAAAACGCGATGTACGGGAATCGAGGCGATCATCGCTAAGAGCGCGGCAGATTGGAATTGAACGGGACGGGTGGGATGGGGAAAACTTTAATAGCGCGTCGATATTATCGTGGTCGCTACGACCGAGAGAGAGAGAGAGAGAGAGAGAGAGAGAGAGCCAAGTCCAATAGAAGTTCGGAAATGATTTTTACGGGCTATCGGTTTAGCACGATGGTGTGGTGTGTACGCTGCCGCAGCTTCGTTAGGAGAGTCTGTTTGCTGAACGTGAACTCACGTTTCCAGCGCGGACAAATGCATAAGCAAATAAAATCGCGCTCGCGAGCGAGCGCGCGTGGATTTAAAAGCACGGCACGGTGCACCTCTCTCCTCTCTCTCTCTCCTCTCTCTCTCTCTCTCTCTCTCTCTCTCTCTCTCCCACTCATCCATCATAATTGATCAAACAATTTCGTTTCTGTGAGAGGAGACAGGGAAACAGCGGGCGAACAAAAAGCAACGCAACGATAATTCGCTGGAAAAATCGCTCCGCTTAATTCCAGTCACGATCGCGCGTTCTCCCCGGCTCACTCTCTTTCCGTCTCTCTCTCTCAACGAATCTCTCTTCTCCTCGTCACTGCCAGCCACCGCCAGCCGCTACCGCCGTTACGCGAAAATACACTTCGTTACAGTCAACGGAGGCAACTTTCCATTAGCAAAGCATACAAATTGCCGAGTAAACTCCGGCAAGTTTGAGTAACCTCCGCGTTCGACCTCGCCCGGGTAAATCAAAGGCTGCGAAACAAGTGGAAAGACTTGCGCGTTCTACCATCGAGCGGAGGAGTGAGTGAGCGAACGAATGAACGTCGGCGAAAAGTTTCACGGAAATCTTAAGCGTATTTCGCCCGTAGTTTCCTCGTTAGTTGGACCAAGCCGCCAGACAAATTGTGGATCTGTTCAACGCCGTTTTAACGGTTCGCAGATCATGGTGCGGAGGCGAGACAGGTGGGGAGTAGGTAATCACGAGAGAGAGAGAGAGGAGGAAGGATAGTGCGCAGACGGCAAGTGCTAGAGGAGGGTATGGTACACCCACACCCGTCTGTAACCATGTACACTCGTTAAGGCAGGCCGGGGCGAATATATATTCCAGGGAGTAGTTTGCCGAGATAATTAAATGGCTTAACGATATAATAACCTCGCGTCGAGCGTCGACTGTCTGAACAGAGCCACCCACAAAACATACAAACAGAGGAATGTGTATAAGCGTGCCGATGCCGCGCCACGCTGCGTCTGTGTGGAGGAATGGAGATTGGAGAAGAGAAAGAGAAAGTGAGGTAGAAATAGAAAGAGCGAAAGAGAAGAGAGAAAGAAGAAAGATGAAAGACGGAAAACGGCTTTACGGTCCACGAAGCCGTATTTCTGCGAAATGTCGTTGGTGATTCGAGGAAGTCTCGAAGCCCCTAGGAAACGTTTCGAGTTTCCACTCTTGATAGCGATAATAATCCTGACCGGGGAGCCTGCTATCCTCACGGATCCGACATCTACTCAAGAGTGTTACCCTCTTACCAGTGCCAGGAAACCACTCTCATCCACGTGCTGAGATTCCCCGTAATACCGCAATAACGGGAGGAACGCTTTGACGTCGTGGAGCGAACGAATTACATGAAGGGTGTTTAAAGGTGTGAATTTCAGTTTCTGATCCTCCCTAATGAGAAGGAAATAAAACGAAAAGATATATCGAATGTGATGAAAGTTTTACGTAAAAAATTATATAAAAATATGACATATTTTTCTTTTCCAAACTTGATATAAATAAACATGATATTACTTTTTTATACTATTACGAGAATTATACTTTTCCGATTTGAAGTGTCTGTTTTTTTTTTATCTCCAGATACAAAGTTACTGCGTCTTAATCATCGTGCGAACCATCTCGCGGCACCTGCATCCGTTACCAAGTGTTCATCCTCAGCAGTTTTCGTCACCGTCGCCACTTGCTGACTCGACCAGACACAAAGTTATACGGCCAAGAGATCTAAAGGGGATCGTCTTAACCTTCTTATGTTGCGTATCGTTGACACACTCGGTAAGCATCTTTGGTCCAAGTAAGCAGTCGCCACAAGAATTGCGATCGATGCAGGTATGAGTGTGCCTATCGTAAAGACACGTAAGCCAATATCATTCGCAACATCGAAGCTTCACAACTGCGATATCCCGTCTGTACATAAGGAAGTTTACAGCAATGGTTTCTAATAGCCATTATACAAGAGAGAGAGAGAGAGAGAGAGGGGGGGGGAGGAAGGGAGGTACCTTCCGAGAAAAGCTAATCTACCGCGATATCTATATCGCGATGTGATATAATCCGCGAAACGATTATGTTTCCTGGTCTTATCTATCCACGGCGAAATCGACCAGCGAATCCGTCGTGGCTTGTTCAATTCGATCCACCCGGCATAGCTGGTGGGATTTAAGAGAAGAGAGTAAACTAAGACGAGCGGCATTCCGGAATCCTGCTAAGGATTTGCCGCACGTACCCCGACAACGTCGCAGATCTGTGGAAGTTTCTCCGTGGGCTGTGCGGGAAGGAAGGCTCGGAGACGGAGGGGTAGCTGGAATGCTGATTAGTCGGCGTTCGTGAACCGTAACACTATAACCTACCCCCGACGGCTTGGGTAACCGGGTGGGTAGACTCCGGATAAGATTCAGTGAGCGGGAGAGAGAGAGAGAGAGAGAGAGAAAGCGAGAAAGAGGCGGCTATATAGGTGGTGAGAGCGAATGCGGCGAGGAATAAGGGTGTGAGGGGAGGAAGGGGAGGGGGGAGGCGACGACGGGGTCGGAACAGAGCAGCGAAGGAAGAGAACGAAACGAGGGTTGGAGAAGCCGGTGGCTTAATAGGGAGGAAATTGAGTGCTCGAGCAATATTGAGGAGGATTCGGGATTCGCCAGGATCGTATCCGTCCCGTCCGCTTTTGGATTCCTCGGACGTGCATCGGCTTCCAGCGTAGCGTGCCCGCAGGGGTTCTCCACCCACCGCGGATGCTTTTCACGCTGAGACGCACGTGAATCGATTTGCTATGTATTCGATCGTGTCACGAGCGTGATTCAACGACGGTACTCGCGGTGGCGGCGGCGACGGAAGATCCATCTTTGTAACAAGCTATGCTATTGGCGTGCACTCACCCCGATGATAGTGTTCAGCTCGGTCATGGTCACTTGTTTGGCTCTGTCGAGTGCTGAAGCGACTTGCTGCTGATGCTCCTGAGAGAGAAAAGGCAGGATCTGCACGACGATCGCGTTCAGCCTTTTCGCTATTTCCGTCTGGAAAAAGTTTAATAATACCTGTTAAAAAATATCTTGGCAAAATTATTAAATTATCATACTTGTATGTTCGCGAGTGTAGAAGCAAAGAATGAGATTATTCCTAAAGACTGTGAAGGTTTTTTTTACAATTAATTACTACTTAAATAAGCGTGAAAAACGAAATAAACACGAGCAGTTAGACGTACTAATTATTCTAACAACTCAGCGACTTCGACGTTATCAATTTGGCATCAATTAAATAATTATCCATTTATCGCTAAGTCAAAAAAATTTTACGAGCAAGCTTAATTGAAAAGCAACATGATTAACTTTCATTTCCTTTGTTTTGTTTGTTTGTAAAATTTGTCACTCTTTGAATTATTAAAACGAAGGGAAATTACAAAAGTTGTTGAATACAAAAATAAAAAACGCACACAGAACGCAGAAATAAAGAATGAGAATCGCAGTGATCATTACAAATTAGTGTACAGAAATTGTTTGAGTTTACGAATTTTCTTCGTTTATATCGTATCGTTTATCGTTTTCCCTTGTTCAATTAGAAAGCTATTAAGAGAAATTAGAAGGGAAAAAAAAACTAGAAACGCGATAAAAAGGAACGTTTCGTTGAGCACTCAATACTCTCCCCTCGATAAGACACGTATTACGGCGGGAGGGTGTTCAATCTGACACCCAGGGCCCTCAGGCGGCTTGTTCCGGATCGTTAAGAAAGGTAAGGGCTAGCTTAACGCGCCCTCACGAAGGAAACGAGTGAAGATGCAGGTGCGGCATAACCGACCGAGGGTGTTTACGACGCCCTCCAGCTGGAAGAGACTGCCGGGAATTAAATTAAATCCAGGCAAGATTGCCACAGTGGCGCAGGCATTTACACGCACCGTGTTATTTCATTCTAGTCTGACTTACCCCAACGTACTTAACATCGAGGGTACGTTGCTTTTTTATATTTGAGATATTTTTCTCGTTGACGGATGTGTCACCTTCCCTAAATCCAACTTTTGATATGTAATTTATCCTCGACACGTGATATAACTTCCTTGACTCAATCCTGACATTATTTTCTTCATCTACTAATTCTTTTCTAAATATAGAAGAACACTAACCCATTATTAGATAATCATGTACAAACCTACGCGCCAGGCCGGATAACTCGGCATAATTATTCACACAGCGCAATATCACACGGCGCGAAACTCCATTTAATTATCGCGGAATCAACAGGCAGCGCACGGAACGGAGCGGAGCGCGGACCATTTTCGATGCTTTCGTCGAGAAAATGAAATCACTTAATTACCTCAACAAAGCGGCAGCTCCGCCGCTCGTTTCCCTGCCGACGCGTAGAATTCGCACGCTCGAAAGACGCGGAAGCGGAAGCCGACGATTCGTCGTGAAACAGGAAGTAAACCGCTGGTTTCTACATGCCTCTCATTCTCTCCCCCTATCGTACCGCATCCTCGGTAATTCGTAAACGCCCCGAAAATATAAACACGGCGAGCTCGCGGTTGATATAAACACGAACTTCCGTCGACGCGTTTTTGCCGCTGCTTAAACGAGTCTCGGATGCTAATTGAAATATCGCCAGACCACTGAAATTCTTGGCAAGTTTCCCTCGAGTTACATCTCGGCGAATGAGCGGGAAAAGAGAAGTGGGCAGAAAGAGAGAGAGAGAGAGAGAGAGAGAGAGAGAGAGAGAGAAGAGAAAAAGAGAAAGAAAGAGCGAAAGAGGGTGTAAGTGTGTGTACGTACGTGTACGTAGAACGAAGATGAAAGAGAACGCAAAGAGGAGGACCTGTTTTAATTACTCGTCGCCCTCTGAGTGCTGGTTATTAAGCCGCTAATTATAATGTACGCGAAAATGAGTCGAGCTATATCGGCGAGACATCATGTATGTGAGAGCAAGAAGGTTTACGCAGTATGCAAAAGGCGCGCAATATGCGGTATACAGAATGTGCAATTTTATGGAACATTGGAATTTTAAAAGTACACGTTTTGTACATACATACGTTATATAAACGTATGTATATCTAAAAGAGATTATGAGTTTCATAAAAATGATATTCAATATGGAATTCAAACAGGAATTCTATAAAAATGATAATCAATATGTAAATGTAATTTCACATGTAAATTGATTAGATCTATATTTCTGTAATAAATTTATGATTTTTTTTTTCATAAAACTTAACCCTCTCCATTTTTTTCTTACTTAAAGAAATAACTGGTACGAAGCGGTTAACGTGTTTAATGATTGACCTCTGAGCATGACACGGCTCATTATCACAACGAAACTCAAACGTACTCGTATTGTTCGCAAGGATAACACGCGGAGAGTGTGTTTCGTAACGTGAGGTAAAGTCCCATCTACTTGGCGTACTGTACGGCAGTTTGTGGCGGTACTAGAACGAGAAGATTTCAAGCGAGTGGTAGAACGGGAGAGGACATTGTGGGCGAGAAATGGTGGCGACTCCAGGGAAGAAGAGACGACGACGGGGGTGGAGTCGTCGCAAACGTAATTGCGTTGCCAAGAAGTTTTCCCCGGGTGAGAGGTAACCAAGAAAATAATGAATGGCTTGGATGCTCTGCTACTGCTCTCTCGCTTCAGAAGAGAAAGAGAGCAAAAGTGAACGAGAGAGAAACAGCAGAAGTAGAGAAACGAGAAACCGAGTTTTGGCCGCGGTGCTCTCGTTGGCCTGGATTTCACACGGGGGAGAGATGAAAATCTCGCCCTGAGAATGAATTTTTCTCTCTCGTGCCAAATTGGACCAACGAAGATTGCTCTACTCCGAGCGGAGTCTTTCACAGCGTGAATGGCTTTTTCCTTAAAATAGCACTTGCACGGCGGACGTTGTTGTCCGCTATCGGAATATCAAGGATGGTACGATAAGATTTCGATGAAGACTGTACTAAAAATCTATGGTTACATGCAAACAACCACGTACGTGCGGTGTACAATTCTCAAAAGCTTCGATATTCCTTTTCTTTTCTTTTTCATGTCCGCGTTCTCTATGACATTACGAGGAGTCGCGACGTGCGCTGAAACGGAAGACGCAGATGCTCCGGTTCAGTAATATCGCGAAAACCGCAAGAAGCTCTCGCAAAGTGCCATGCCTCTCTTCATACATATGCACAAACACACACACACACACACACATGCGGCATCGCCGTTGTGTCGCGCGCTTGCACATATACCCGGACACGCGGTTACGAACATACGATGTATCTCAAAAGGAATCAGGCACTCTCCGAGACGCTCTCCCATACATATAAACAACACGGTATAGCGTGTGTCTAAAAGCAGGCAGCAACATTCACGGCATGAAAATGCAAAGCGCCCGAGTGCCGTCGATAAAATTCCTCGCCTGTAAAACGGTGACGTGAACCGAATGCTCTTTCACCGCCCCGGCCCAGCCCGGCCTGGCCCGACACTGCCGATAATCCGATACTCGAAGCTACCTCGAGAAGAGGTGGGCCTTTGCAAATCCGACTGCGTTCTATGCAGCAAATATCGAAGCACGATCTTATCTCTTATCGCGCATTTCTATCCGGCGACGAACTTTATCCCTCCGCGCTACGCTAGAAAATGTTTAATCGAAGAGTCAGCATTCAGTAATATAAGAGAGAAACAGAGAAGAGGAGAGAGAGAGAGAGAGAAATACAGAGTTTGTGGCAACAAAGCCATGCTCGCCGCCAACCTCTGCCGACTAACCGGAAGCCGTTACTTGCGCTAACGAGTAAACCAACGGCTGCTCGTCGGACTTTGGTGGTATTATGCTGCGCGAGCAAATAAACTGGCGTGTTCGGCTAACTCCCTGGTTTCTGGTAAGCCCCTGCACACCGGCGGCGGTTCTCGCTCGCTCGGCCTGTAAAGCCCGGCTAACGTCCGCGTGATTGCAATACCCCGCGGCTTGCGGAGAATACCGGATGTGGCCATGTGTACGCGCGCGCGCATCTGTGTACATACGCCGGACCACCGTGTGTGCGCGAGCGCGCCGGTGGGTGGATTAGAGATAGAAGAGGGAGGGATGGGACATGGATAAAGCGTCCGTTAAAGTATACGAAGAACCGAAAACTCATTGTGTCCGCTGTTGTTTCGAATCGTTTGCGTCCTGTTACACGGAAAGTTAGATTAAATCAATTTTCCGTCTCGCGCGTAACGTCACGTCGCATCCAATCGAGTCGCGTCAGCTAGTTTTCATCGCGTCACGAAGCCAGACAACGCGTATCCCAGCAGCAGCAGCAGCAGGGATCTCCTTCCGTCGCGTTCGTCGCGTTCGCGCGACGACGTGAAAAGAATCGATAATGCGCCCTGTCTTTTGTTCCGTCTATCGCTCGCGCTCGTATTGTCGACGTGGTGCACGAAGCTAACTGACAAATAGGTCAAACGCTGTAACAGCGGAGATTTGATGCGGCACAAAACGAGAACCTCCCCCGCCGCCTCGTCGTTTATCCATTAATATCGTCGTACCGATTGCGATATCCGCGCGAGCGCGTCGGTCGAAAATAACGGCGTTCCGAATCGCGAAGTCGATTAAAATGCGAGCGGATTGCGAGGTGAAAAAACGAAAGGGGGGGAGGGGGGGAACGGGAAAAACTCGCTCGCGACATCGTTCCAGCGGCGATTTCCTCGTGACACGCGTGACGAACACCGAACACGCGCACGCAATATTTTATCCGGGAGTCGCGTGAGCAATGCGCGAGCGAGCACGGAACGAACGCGTCGCGGAACGACCGCGCGGACTAGCAACGCCTGAAATTGCTTGTATAAATATTGGAGCTCGCCATTTTCATTCGGTTAATTTTCCGCGGTGGACGCACCCGAGAGAGACCGCGATGAAATTTTATACGCTTCGCACGTCTCTCGACGTCGTTGCACACACCGCTCTGCAACGCGATGCGGTACGCATGATCTCGTTCGTGAATTTAAAAAAAATAGAGTGAAAGAGAGAGAGGGGGGGGGGAGAAAATCACGGTGTTGCGTAAAATGGCCAACTCGCCAACTCGAA